TCGCCGTGTTGGTTATTATCCTGGTTGACGATTCTCAGTTGTGTTTCTTTGTTATCTTACTTCGTCTATCACCTCTCAGCACAGTTTTGCCATGCACTCAATTACTTCGCAAATCAATGTTCAATGCATTCTCTGTCTTTACCTCGGCACTATCCCCAGCTTTTGACATCTCCCATTGTCGAGCCTGAGCATGTTCGCTGGTCAGCAATGTCACAATCCACCTCGAATGTACTACTTTTAGATTGCGTTTCCATTGCGCTCAACCATGAACCTTGCACCTTCGTGGTCATATTTGTTTAGTCTTGTGGCTATACGTTTCACCGACCGGTGATGCAGAGCCAAATGCAAGAAGTAAGAACCAAAGAGGACTTCCAAGACAAAGATGTTTGTAGATGGCTATGCGAAGAAAGTGGGTATAAGCACGTGCCTGTGGTAACAATCTGTCACCCAGTACCAATAGCCTTCGATTATTGAAGTCAAGTCAGAGCAAGCCTTAGGCAATCATCGGGTGTGGCTGCCACGTTTTCAAAGATATACAGCCCAAAGTAAGACGGACACAACTGCGACAAGTGATAAATAATGAAAAGTAGGCTGACACGAACGATGGTCAATAGGATCCATGTTATTTGGTGTCCGATTTAATAAAACACATCAAAGCTAAGAGCAGATGATATGATATGATAACTAACGAGTATGGTGATGCGAGAATTCGTGCATCCAGTTCCCTTAAGGAGTTTCATAAGAGCGAGAACAAACATCATCCAAGAACAGGCCGAATTCAACTGTTTCGCGCGATCTCTTCAGCCGTGTACAAACTTTCACAAGAATGTTTGTACACAGCTGAAGAGATGATGCGACATTTATTGAGGTTGACCTGCAGACTGGTTTTCAATCGCCGTAAACGTTTGATATATCGACCACATATATCAGTTTACTTGTACGAAATAAAATCGACCTAGTCAGTCTAAGGGAATACCACCGTATTGAGGATGTATTTTATCGGACATTGAAATTAGGATAAGATATTTATCATTTATTTCGAGGGAAAATGCGGGAGTTAGGAAGAAACGAAGCACAGAGGCATATCAATTTAATGCCATACACGGTCATCATCTTAGCACCATGGATGTTGAGAACGCTTGCTGCAGCCGGTGTTCGCTAATCGGTATCCACTCTCCAAATGCTGGCAAAGTTCAGATTTTACCGGGGCGAGACAAGTGAATTCATTCGAGGGGCGCGTGCGGGCTCCCAGTTCCTGCAACCGGAGGTACGGCTCGTCTCAGTAAACGATTCAAGATGTGCTTTGAAGTGCGATTGATTAAAGGCCTTAGGATCATATGCTCAGTAAATGTTCGTCACAGGTCAACAAATCAGTATACTATCCTTGAACACCTCGGTGCGGTCCTACCCCTACATGGCCAAGCGAAGAATGGAATAACGATGAGGATTGACACTAAGTGGATTGTTTATGAAGGAAAAAAGCCACCCTGAAATACCCATAGTTATATATAGACAAAAGGTGTAAATTCAAGATCATATTGGAGATATGTCGCGCTAACTTGTTTTGTTCAAATTGAATCTTGCTGGGGTACGATGACTTCGCCGTGGTATAATTTTATGATTCAAGGTTTGTTTATTTGTGATAAAGCTAAAACTTGGGAATTTCATTTTGCCTGTTCGCCGAGCTTGGCGATTTGCTTGCAAACGTTTCGTATATGGTCCTTTTACTCGGCTGCCATTGTACTAGGCGAAATGCGTGTAAAACCGGGGCGGTGGCGGCACGAAACTGTCGTCAAGGGGTGCATGTCTTTAATTATCCCGGAATCTGAACTCCACCCATCGTCTACCCACTCATGCTCATTTAAGTGGGCAGAACACGCCGCTAGGTGCATGAGGGCTAACAGAGAGCCACAATTTTTGGATCTCATCGAATTTGTCGAGGAGACAGCTGACGTCATGGACACCTTTCCCTCCTTCGCACCGAGACCAACTACCGGGACTTCAACTATCGTGGACAAAGTTGGCAACTCTAGACCTCGAGGTTCCCGTAACCCTAGAATTCTTAAGGAATCGGCGTATATCTCAGTTGGCCCATACACCCGACTCTTCCAACAGTGCATGGATGAGGGAATATTCCCTTCTCGCTGGAAAGTCGCAGTTCTCTCCCCCATCTACGAAAAAGTTAGCAGATTCCTTCCAGTAAGCTACCGTCCTATCTCCCTGACTAGCGTTCCTAGCAAAATTCTAAAGCGCATGCTGAAAGAGGCCATCTTGAAGCACCTCTGCACAAATAATTTACTCTCTACCTTCCAGCATGGATTTCTGCCAGGCAGATCTTGCATCACCAATATGCTGACTGTCATGGATAGTTTAACAAAGGCTTGAGATGAAGGCCAAATCTCGTACGCCGTACACATAAATTTCGTCAAAGCCTTCGACAAGGTCCCACTCATACACAGGCTGGGGGTGTGCGGTATCACTGATCCTCTTCTATCACTTATTAGCAGCTTTCTCTCACTGCACTTTTATGGTAAGGGTTAACGGTGCAGTATCCAAACCAAGTATTACTACAACCGGAGTCCGCCAGGGATCTGTTCTCGGCCCTCTCCTCTTCCTAATCTATATTAACGATCTACCTAACGCATTGCCTGCGAACGTAGCTATGCACGCAGATTATGTCACTATCTGGAGCGCAGATACGCACAAGCTTCAGGCATCTGTTGCTGTTATACACTGGTCCGTTGAATGGAATCTGCCTATCAATGACGAGAAGTGTGTAGGACTTTTGGGAACTCCCCTCCTGCTTCGTTTCATCTAAGTGATACGTAACCTCTTCAACAAAACAACCTGCAAAAGCTCCTAGGCTTCTGGTTAAAGAGTTTTATCTCTTTTTCATATCATAACTAGGTAGCCAGCAAATCTACCTTCTGCGTTCTTCACCTTTTTCGAAGGTCTTTCCCTCATATCACCAAGAGAGACTTTTCACTTATTTATGGCAGCTATATCCGTCCTCTCCTAGAATATGGCAGTCAAGTTGTTCATTCTGGTCTGATCCGTGATCGTGATGCTCTCGAACGAG